TGGTCAAATAGCTCAAATTTACCACAAAACTTTCCCCCAGGAGGCTCTTTCTTTGTCTATGTGATCATCAGCAATATGTGTCATAAAATGGGCTCAAACAGGTCAAAACATCGACAGACTACAATTTATATAATAAAGTATGCTGCTGTTTTATCAGCCAAAGCCAGATTTTCAGTCAAGGTTTGTACGTTTACTGGTCGTAAAACATTTGGTATTGATTTTTTTCTTGTCTAGCTGGAGCCGTGATCCTGGAGAGTCCAGTTCATCCTGTGATGGAGGGAGAAGATGTGACTCTGCGCTGTTGGAGTAAAATGACCTCCTCAGCCCACATGGCTGATTTCTTCAAAGATGGTCGACACGTCGGCGCCAGCTCCACAGCAGAGATGGTCATCGGCAACGTTTCAAAGTCCGATGAAGGACTCTACAGGTGCAGCATCTCAGAATTTGGAGCTTCGCCACAGAGCTGGTTGACTGTCAGAGGTGAGACATCAAGACTGGTTGTTTTAACGACAGTAGAGGTGGAATTAAAATGAAAGAGGTAAAAACTAGATATAGCATATTTAAACCAGAGATGGTCCTCAGATTATTGTCTCTTCTAAAATGAGTTAGATGTGAGTTCTTGTTTTTTGTCTCTCTTTCTTTCTTGCAGCACCTTACAGAGCGACTCCTCAGTCTTCAGGCCAGTCCTGCCAAATCTACCAGATTCTGCGGACGGTTTTTGTCGTACTGATGTTGGTTCTGCTGCTGGGACTCCTTCACTGTGGCAAACTCAGACTGACATAGAACTCGCCTGTAGCATCCGTCCACATAGTGCTGCTGCAGCAGGTTGCATCTGCTGCATGTTGGTGACTAATATAGTTCTACAGAGAACGTTCCCACAACGTAATAGTTAATAACATCGCCCACAGGTTCTAAGAATATTTTAAAGGAAATGCTTTGATCAAAGGTTCAAATAGTGTTTTGAGAACATTTATATTTCCAGTAATGTTCCTAAAAAGTTACTATAGTGTTTTAATGTCAACATTCGGAGGATGTTGTCGGGAACACAGATTAAGTTCCGCGATGACAAAGGAGGAACCTTCAACATTTAAAAAAATGTTTTCTAGACGTTATCGAGGCCGAAGAGGTTTTTTTTAATGTGATGTTTTAACAAAGGTGGAAAATTCTGCCTGCAATGTTCTGAGGATGTTTTCTAGGGAACACAATATAGAACGTTCTTCTGTACGACATTCTCACAATGTTCCGCGATAACAAAAAAGAATGTTCTCAAACCCACATTGAAAAAAGGTTTTCCAGACGTTGCTGAGGCCTCAGATGACAGAAGGTTCTTTATAAGACGTTCCAGGTGTGATGTTCTCAGGACAATTTGAGGACGTGGTTGAGAGAACACTCTAGAAAACGTTCCCACAATGTACAACGATGTTACATGACAACAAAAGGAAGAACGTTCTCATCGCAACGTTCAGCGTTGAGAACATTACGGCACAACAATGTTATCACCAAACATTTTTAGAACATCTTCAGAAGAACATTCTGGGGACGAAAAGAAAAACTTTTGGAACACTGATTCTGATGCATTTTAAGCTATGAGAGGAACTAAATGTGTCCAAACAGTTTGAAAATGTTTCAGCAGCAGTGACAGTGATTTAACATCAGACTGTCACAAGCAGAGAAGACCAAACCACAGATGCAAACGTGCTTTCATTCAGCATTTTGTTTTCGACACGACTGATGCAGGTAAGAACTTCAGCTTCTTAGAAACAAACCACACAAGAACATTGCAAACGGGAACGATTGATGAGATGCTCAGAAAGAGCGCCGTCACTGGTAAAAACTATTTGTAATACACTCAAGATGCTTCTTCCAGCGTTCTGGATCTTCGTGTGACATCTGTTCCAGCTCTGACTTGAAAAAAACTCTTTAAAGAACAAAACATTTCTTCGGTCCTTTAAATTTCTGTATATTGTGATTTGTTCATAATTGTAACAGGCTCAGCTGACATTTAGAAGAAAAAGTGTTCATTAGATTTTTCAAGTAATGAACTTTACTGTATTAAAAAAATAGTTTCTCAAATAGATTCTTCAAGGTCAAACAGAGACATTGTCGGACTCATATCATCATTATTATTGAGCTCCAGTAGGTCTGTAGTTCGACTCTATCCTGACACAAGTCCTACAGAACAGTCACAGCAGCTCTACATCTTCATCGACAACAACTGTGTCTCTAGCTTGCAAAAGAATAGATGCGTTCATCTGAAGAAGTTGTTATTCATGCATTCCTTTATTTTTCCTCTTCCACATATAAAACCGACGTATTTACACACAAACACAAGAACATAAATACAGTCAGTGTAAAAACGTGACATGAACTGGTTTACAAAAAAAAGCCATTCAAGGCACAAGAGAAAAGAAATTTCCAACAAAATATCAAAATACTGCAAAAAACATGTAAAAATTTTTTTTTTTATCCCTTTTTAAATTTTAAGTTGATCCCACCAGCAGGAGGCAGCGTTTCCTCCGAGGGATACAGAACAACTTCATGGAGAATCATAAAACCTGAAGAAAATCTGTTTTTTTAAAAGCATTAAGTCATTTTAAACTAATAATATTTACAGCAACATGCTTATTTTGGATCAATAATTAAAAGAAGAAGAAGAAAGGAAAAAAAAAGCCTATTTGGTAAAACTGGGACTTTTAAATCACATATAACACAAAGTATTATTGATGATAGAAAAACACAACTTGAATTTACTGTACAAACTTGTTGTTTTAACACAGTTCTATTTGAACACGTTTACTCCTCAAACTCTCCATTAAATCAGTGTGACTTTGCAAATCAGCTGTCAAACACTAAAACTATATTTCTCTATGTTTTTTTTCTTTTCTTGATTAAGAAACACCTTCAGACTCACCACGTTAGCTTTTTCTTTTCCTGAAAACTTGTTGTTTGTCGATAGTTTTGCGTCACTTAAAGTCAACGCAAACTGTTGCTCATCTGAAATCTTTTGGTTCGTCTCTATAACATTGTACGATCTTGACTTTAACAGGTTCATTTGTAATTTCAGTCTTTCAGCTCCCATGAAAACCATTAAGATCAGCCACTGTTGTTTTAAATGCACCGCTTGAGATCAGATTCTGTAAAAGTAATAGAACGGATACAGACAGAAAACAGGCAGATCAGCTGGTAAAACCCGTGATCTAAACTGAACAAACTGCATTTTTTTTTACGCTTAAAATTATGATTTGCACTAAAGACCAACAAACCATCAAGGGTTGTTCTGTTCTTCTGGCTGCTCCGGTTCTGCCTGATTTTCCTCATGTAAGAGTTCAGTACTTTGTTCATGGGGTGATGGATCATATTTGTTCTCTTTTCTTTCTGACTCTTCCAGTTTCCTCTGAAGCTTTTCTATCTCCTGCTCTGTGTGTTTAAGGTTTTTCGTAATTTGTTCCTTGTTTTTCTCTAGTTTTCCTTTCCTCTCTGTCATTGTCACAATCATTTCATCTGTTGTTTCCAGAAGTGTCTCTGTGCTCTCGAACAGTTCCTCGTGTTCTTTGTTTTTCCATGTGGTCGACTGTTTGGCCTTTTGTCGCTTCTCCTTTTTTTTCGAACTCTCCATCCTGAACTTTTCTTCGTCCTTCTTCTCGATCTCATTTAACTTCATCTTCTCCTCCTGCTGTAGTGAGAGAAGTTTCGCTTTCTGCTTCTTCAGCTCTTCCTTCTGCTTTTTAAACACTTCAATCACCTGCTGCACGTGTTCTAATTCTTCTTCATTCTTCTGTCGTTCGTCATCAAGTATTGCTTTTGTCCTTTTCAAATACTCCATTTTCTGCTTTCCAGACATTAACGGCTCTTTGCCTCTTAGAAGCTCAAGTTCGACGCTGTTGCTCGTCGTCAGCAGTTGTCTTTCTTCCAGTTCAATTTCATCGTCTCTTTGCCTCATGGTTGCTGTGTGAATTCAAAACAAGGGTTTACATTAGGTTTTAAAGAGAATGTAATCTAGAATGACACAAAATGTGTTATTAGAGAGAAAAACAAAACTGCTAAATAACTGTGACAGTAACTTGTGGTTTGGAATAAAAGTAGAAACAGTAAACAAGCTTACTGGTTTTGTTTTGCCCCCATTTCCATGCAATGAATACGACGGCAGCAACAGACAAGACACAAGCTGACATCGTGATGGTGATGCGAGCAGGCAGATTAGAGTGGACCATAAAGAGATCAGCTGAAAATACAAAACGCATAAAAGATATATTTGTAAAACTAGACGTCAACTATCTGTATGTAAATAACTAAGAAACCTTACCTGAAACATGAACCTGTGTGTCTCTACTCTGGCTGATGTTGTTCTGCTGGACTCTACAGATGAAGGTGTTGCTGTTTCTTGTCTCCAAAGTCACTCTGCTGCTGACAGTATAGAGGTCATCAGGACCTCTGACTGTCTCTGGAGGTCCAGCAGAGAGGAGCTTTCCCTCACCGTCCAGCCACAACACCTCAGGCTCTGGATACCAGCCTGCACACTCACACTGCAGCACCACTCCATTGGGATCCATTGAAATCTCTATTCTGGGTGCGGAAATGGAACCTAATGGAGAAAAAAAACAATCAAAATCAGTTGGAAATGAACGTTGCCACAAGCATTAAATCATTGAGATTCCCCAGATTCCATTCTAGTGCATGTAAATGACCCTATGGTGACCCTAAGTACTCCTGCTGTGAGCTCTAGTGCCCCATGTTTGGTCAAAAATAATCTTCCGGTAACTAAAATGCCCTTACGCTCATTCCAAGTTCCCTTTTGGTTGTCCCATTAACCCCTGTCGCACATGCAAGCGTCCATCTGGTTTCTCCAAATGCCTTTGCTATCACTCACTTCACCCAAGTGCTCTTCAGGTCAGTGAAAGCACCATTCGGACTGGTCCAAGTGCCCCCTCAAGTTGGTCCGTTACACCCATAGTTTGCCAAACTGCCCGTGGTAAGCCCATACATAGTTGCCTCTGTGCTCAGCACAAATACCCCTCTTATCAAACCAGGTCCCAGTCTGGCTGGTTCAAATTCCCAAGTAGTTATCCTACTTGTCTAATGGGCTCTTTCCATTCAAAGTTGAACTTCGGATGGTCAAAACACCTGATCTTGGGCTACAATAGACATGTGATCATTCTAAGTACCTTTTTTGGCAGTTTAAGTGCCCCTCTAGTCAGTCCAAATGCCCTTTTGATTAGTCTTCTTGATCCAAGTGCTCTGGTCCACCTAACAGCATCTTTTGACATTTGCCCTTCAGGTGCTAAGACCCTCTGGATTGGAAAGAGCCCATCTAGTTTTTCCCAAACTCCTCTGCCTGCCTTTGTTTTCAGACTTATTCCAGATCCAGTTGCACTAAGGAGCTGCTTGCATCATGTCAGTTAGGACAAACTGCCTCCAGTAGTCATCCCATGTACCCCTACTATCAGTTCCAGTGACCCATATGACCCTGTGGATCATGTGGAGTTGGTAAAAATCAGCATAAAGTTAATCTCAGCATCCCAAATGCCCCTTTCATGGACCAAAATGCCCTCCTCGCTAAGTGCAAAGTAGATTAATGCCAACTTACCCACAGCAAGCTCAACCACAGACTCTGTATCAAATTTAGCAACACGGCAGTGGTATGTTCCTGCATCAGAGAGTTTCACTTCGGAGAGTTTCAGGGAAATGTCTCCGGACTTCAGCTTGCTAATGGACAGCGATGTTCTACTCTTGTACGATGGATTCTGCTCCGTCAGAAGCTCCTCGCCACCTCGCCTTAAATGGATGAATCTTGGCGTCACGTCAAGTCTGGACCACTCCACCGTCCGGTCGACAGCGTCTACCGCAGGCTCCAGGCGGCATGGCAACTCGATGTCATCACCAATCATGGCCACTATTGGCTGAGTCGGACCAATTAGCTGATACTGACCTAAAGGAGAAACCGTCGGTAAATTTTGTTGCGACAAGACTTTAGCGATTTGGTTTCCATCACACTGAAAATGTGCACATATACACCCCTGACTTTTAATACCACCCCTTTAGCAAATTTCAGTTCATTTCTAGTTTCTTTTTTGTGGCCTGCCACTGATCGTAAGGAACTGTGGGCCCAACCAGGACCATGCAAGGTCAACAAAGAAACCAATGCATTCCAAACTCACATTGCCCACGATAAAATAAAGCAATTTTTTTTAAAAAGGTACTTGGTTGGCTTTGTGCTTTCAAGTGAGGTTATTCAATCAGAGGTACTACAAAACAAGGTGACATTGATCAACTAGTATGTTGTTGTATGTTGTCGGCATGGCCACAAGCAACACTTTGTCAATTTGTTAAAAATTATGGCGTTTTTTGGCGGTTTTAGAGGCGAATGCAGGAACCAGCATGGTCAAGGTGGTAGTTAACCCAGTAATGTCCCTGATTTCCAGTCAGTAGAGCAATGACGCAGTTTTTATTACTTTTTATGACCCTGAAGCACAATCTTATCTGATGTCCTGATTTTCCTTAAAGAGCTCATGTTGTGTTTCTCTGGAGGTTTTTGCTTTCCTGCATCATGTTAAATCGATTCTTTTTCTACAAAAGTTCTGTAAAGTTACTGAGTTGACAACAAAGTCAGTTACTATCTGGCACAGAAAACACTTCTTAACTGCCTGATATTCTTTGTTTAAAGTCCAGGCTTTTCTTCTGTTACATATCTTTGTCATAATTTAACACATATATAAAGATTTTTTTTATAGTCGAGTGCAGTTTACCTTTAGAACAGTGCGTCAGGAGAATGAAAATCCAAACACTGAGCTCAGACTTCAGTAGGAGTCTGTCCTTTGTGTGAATCATCACGGAGTTCTGAAAGTAGGAGAAGAGATACGAGGCAACTTGAAAGCATGTGAGATTTAAAATTGACGTGATCTTTGCCTGGTTTTCTTAGAACATACAGCAGGTGAGAACAGTTGAAGCATGAGCAAACATGGCAGCATTATACACTCACACGGCTTCACAATCTGTCGAGGCGTTCTCAGATAACAGACGTTCACCAGAGTTTGTTTCACAAGCTGCTCACTGCTGCCAAAGTAACGGATGGATTTGTACAAAAAAAACACAGCAGACGACGACCGCAGTTCGAATTTCTGTGATATAAATAACTAAAACGATTTAAGATTTAAAATAATCAAGTAAATGTTCCATGTAAAACTCCTACATACCTGTTGTGCTGCTTTAGGGTGGAGAGTCAGTCCTGATAAAATATCCTGCAGTAAAACCATGTGTACTTTGGCCTGTGGAGATAAGGTTTACATTGTTCTAGATTACATTCAAAGTGTTCGACATTTGCTTTGGTTTAAAGATTAAAAAAAATAAAAAAGTTCTGAACTGCAGAGCTGCTGTCATTTATTTTATTTTATTTTTAGCTTGTGTACATATTAAAGGAAAATAAACCTATTCCAGTAACTTTTAGTCACGTCCGGGGGAATGACACCAACGGCTTCATCGTCAGTTCAGTTTTTATCACATAGTCGGAATGAATGTGTGTTTTTGTGTCCTCGTGTTGCACTTCCTTGTTCATTCTGTGTGTTTGTTTATGGTGTAGTTATGTTTTAACAGTTGAACAACCTGCTGCACAAAAAACTATTTGGCAGTTACTTAAAAATAAAAATAAAAATCCCACAGCCGCACATGAAACTGAACAAACAGTTGGAACAAGGAAGTCGTACATGGGGAAAATGGCAAGAATAACATCCAAGTTGACATCTTTGCAGCAGATTGCAATTCAACATTTTTCCCATGTGGTAATAATTAACAAATAAGGTCAAATAAAACTATTAAAATAATCATATCAGTTTCTACAGGTATGAAGTCATAAAGGATCCTATATAGATCAAAGTGTTTGGGTTTTTTTTGTTTTTTTATGAGACAGCAATGAAACAACTCTACTGTTGGAAGAGCTTCTTATATTATTACATGCTTTTACTGCTTTACTGCTGCTGGAATCTTGTAAAATTCAGTTTTGTCAGAACAAACACAAAGCTTCGATCATATCAGTTTTGATAGAAACACAACACTTGACACAAAAAAGAATCACATTAATACTAAAGTCAGTTGTTCTGTCTTTTATCAATTAACTGCAGCACATTATGAGTAAATTCTTCCTTTTAGTTCCTGTGTTAGATTTCAGACTCTTTGCACGATCTGTTTGGATGCAGATTGCTTTGCTGTGGTGATATTATTATTTATTAGGCACATTTTTAAAAAATAAATAAATGAATAAAAACTGACTTTGCAGTAGGGAAATCGTGTTTACAGAGTAAGTTAAGATATTAAGGTAAGACATCTGGATTGGGGTTGTTTGTCCTCTACAGTAACTCCCAGTAACTACAGGTAAACCAGTGCAACAGCAG